CTGCTGGGAGGCAACAAAGTGGCTGTGGGGAACAGGGGGGGGGGGGGGGAGAAACTTCCTAGAAGAATATACCGTAGAAATAGCTGGAAAGGATTTACTTCTTTTAGTGCAGAGAAAAGCTGTGCAGGCTGGGAGTAAGCGGGGTTATACAGGGATGTCTTACAGATTGATTTGCCAGTGTTCCATCACCTGAAGGTAGCTGCATAACTTATACGATGGAGAGAAAAAAATCCCTATGTTCTGTGATTTAGAATCAAGAAAAAAACAAATCTGCTTAAGTGGACAGTATCAAATTAAAGTTAATTGTTTAATATTACATTCAATTTGGGTAGCTTACTCTGGTGCTTTGTTTTCTTGAGTCCACCGGTTATTACTATAAAAGCAAGCTGCTATAGTACACTAAACCACTAACAAGAATAAATTGTTTTTTTCCCACCATAACTCTGGAATACATATAACTGTATGTATACCAACAGAATGGTAAAAACTAAATTTACAATGTTGACCAAGAGGTGGCGCTTACTAACGTCAACATGATTAAAAACAGCACCGTTTCCATAGGAGAATTGGCTATTTAGATGTTTTCTAAGAGATATTTGTGTTACAACATTATTAAAGATGACATTAGTGTATACCATTAAGGGAGGGAAGGTTAGCATTGCAAAATAACGAAATTTTATTAAAATGGGAATAGGAACAGCATTATTTTTGTAAGCAGACAATATATTTATCGGAGAAGCATTGCGAAGTGTTGGTGTCACATGTCGTCTCTAAGTATCGAGAGCTGACCAATTGTATGACCGCTAATGGCTTACCTCACGGTCTTCTCCCAGCAGAGAGTGGTGACCGTCAGTCACCGCTCCCTGCAGGGATTCCCCCTTCTCTGTTCTTTCAGTGCTCATTGGAGGAACAGACGGGAGAAGGGGCAGGCACAGTGGGCTCTGGCTCTAAAGAGGCAGAACCAGCTGTCAATCTGGCAGCGGGTTGGATCCCAACAACTATGTCAGGATCTTTCCCGGCTGCAGTGCCGGCTAGATGCTAACTTTGAGTCACAGGAGTACACTACTAATGTAGTCCTTTGACCCAAAAGAGGACTAAAGCCAAAAAAAAGGATTTGGCTTTTGTTCTCTTTTAAACTATTAACTTGGCAATTGATTTCAAGAATCTACCTTTAAACAATGGTCATTACAAAAGAACATGGCTACGGAAAAAAACTCTGTACATTTACATCTGGCATTTAAAAGAAGTACCTTATCTATCATCCACGTGACAAAGGATCTCTCTCTGTCTCAACTGCAAATCACAGGTCAGGAGACAAAGGGAGACAGCCACTGATCTCTAGGTGGGGAAAACAATGAATAAGGTAGACTAAGAATTATGACCAGTTACAACCCGATAAACAAAAAAAAGTATTACTGAATAGATAACGGATAATAGAAAATTCAAAAATGTCACTCTACTAACCTTGCCCTTGGCAAGATCTTGGTGGGCCAACGTAACCAGCCGCTGAACTTTAGCAGCTATACACAAGTACTTAAAGAATCTCTGATGAGATGACCAGAACTGAGCCCAGAGAGATTTCCGCGATTCCAATCCTAGCCAATCGGCAGCCGTCTGGAAAACAGTCAGTGCTTCGGCCCACTAAGAACAGATAATGAGAACAACAATGAATAATGTAATGAAGAATTTAGAATAGGACACTATAAAACATGATATACCAATTAACTCCACATCCTACAAAAGCATTCCAACGACTATAAATATTAAAACCAATGAATTCCCCTGCAAGGCCCACAGTAGCATGCTTTTAGCTTTCATACTACTACACAAAAAGTACTCAGGGCAACTCAAAAACCCTTGATGCTCCAGTGTGGCCCTAGACATTTTACTGTAATGCAATTTCTAACTCCCTGCACACTTGCAAAAGATGTTTAGGGTTAACAAGTTATAATACATTATCTGTTCTCAATGTTTTACGCAAAGCTTGTAATAAGCATTTTTGTACAGTTACAAGTGGTTACTGAGATACAAATACTGTGAGGGGAATTTATCAAAAGCAGACAAAATGTGGAGCAGCTTCTCTCTTCAGTTTGTTCAGTTAAGATTTAAAAATGAAAGAGAGAAGCAGATTGGTTGCCATGCAAAGTTGCTCCAGTTTTGATAAATTCCCCTGTGTGTATACACACACACACACACACTATATTATATTACACAGACACACACACACCCGAGGGGTAGGCAACCTCTGAACTCCAGCAGTTGTCGAATTACAAGTCCTATAAGGGACAGCAAGACCAATACAGGCATTATTCCCATAGGCATCATGGGATTTGTAGTTTTACCACAGCTGGAGTGCTCAGGTTGCCTACCCCTGATATAAACTGTATATTATACACTGGACACTTGGAAAAAAAAATGCATTGCAGAGCACAATTGTGAAATGTAGTGCATCACATAAAACAGGATTTTTGTACTTGCTGTACAAAGCTTTTTCTTGGAGTTTATTAAGGGATACAGGATCAGTAGTTATAGATGGTCGTACATTTGGTAATACTGCCACGTACAGGAGGATTTGGACACTAGAAAAAAAAATAAAAATATCTTTTGGATCACAAGGTAAAAACTCCTTCCACTCCCAGTATTCTTCAGTTTTGTAGAAAAGCAGTACTTAGGAGCAGATCCGGGACATCCGAATAAAAAGTCCAACTGAGTGGTGGGATGCACAGTAAACAAAATGCCAACATGCCCATATAACAAAACAGAATAAAACTGGGGGAAACCTGCAGCTCAAAGGTCTCCCTGAAGGACCTTATGCTTGAAGCTAGCATCGGGGGAGTCCCAAATATGCCCCTGATAAAACGTAGAAAATGTATTAACAGAAGACCAGATGGCAGCCTTGTACATCTGGGAAAGAGTTTCCTGATGCCCAAAAGACACTCACAGACCTAATAAGAGTGCACCTTGACAGAGAAGGGTAGAACCTTGTCCTTAAAACTATAAGCCTGAAAAACGATCAGTCTGAGCCACCGAGAAATGGTGGAGTGAGAAGCTTATGGGAACTCTCAGGAATAGCAATAAGAGTCAGACTGTTAAATGGAATTAGTGTCTAATCATCAGTAGCTGTCCAGTCTCCATACAGAACAGGTTGCAGTAAGGAGTGTACCAAACAGATTGTGATAGTCTTGGGGCCTTTCAAGGATCCCAGACTGATAACAGAACTAGCAGATGCTACAGGCTGTTCCATTTTAAAGGGGCCTCGCACAGCATTAATAAGAACCAATATGGGATCTTTTAGCTTGGGAGCTATTTCAGCTGACTGAGGTTCTTTAGACACAAACTCATCTAACAAAGCCCTTTGACATCCTTCTTCAAACAGTACATCCGCAGCCAAAGACTGCAGGAATGTCATACAGATTCTGCAGATGAAGGTGTAGGTCTCCGCTTACAGCCTCTGTGGAAAAGTGTGGCGTGCACTCATGAAAAACTCAAGCTAATGAAGCAGCATGCAATTCCTCAGAGTGTTAACCCCTTCTGATTAAGGGTGAGTAATGATGTCTGTAAAGATTCTAATTCATTCATTCAGGTCATGGTATATCTGTAAAAAGAGAAATCAAGGCAGCTGGACTTGCTGTATTTTTGTTGAAGACGTTTTGCTGGTTATCCGACTAGTTTTCTCAATTCTGAATTGAGAAAGCTGGTCGGATGACCAGCGAAATGTCTTCAACAAAAATACAGCAAGACCAGTTGCATTGATTTCTTTTTTTTTACAAATATGGTGAATAATGATGGCATTATAATGGCAAAACCCAGTGCTCAAAGATCACATTCCAGGCAAGCCCCAAAACCTTTGGTCTAGTGGGGTCCAGGTATGGCCTCCAAAGAAATGTCAAGGATTAGCTGATTCGGAAAGCTGCAGACAGCCCAGCTCAGCAGCAGGTAGATTTTGTCTTGACAGTGAAAAAAAAAAACAACCCCCCCCCCCAAAAAAAACAACATCTTGAGAAAACCCTATGCAATAAAATATAATTAAATGGCTAGTAAAAAAAAAAAAGTGGTAAATGCGTCTCAATATTGCATTGTCCTAGGACACTAGAAAGAAACTAAATAATGCAGGGAGTGGGAGGGACTATACCTGGCTAGCCAACTGCTTTTTTGTTGCCAGTGTCCATATCCTCCTGTAGGTGGCAGTATAACACAATATCAGAAAAACTACTGATTGTGTGCACTTGGATAAATAAAGAAATGTGTTTTCTGATTCTGTCGAAATCTATTTTTTAATATGTTTGGCATCATCCTAACTGTAATAAGTTTTCCTGAGCAAATCATTTTTTTTTTTTGTGACTGTTGCAATAGTTTCCTACTTTTTTTGCCAGTAATAGCACTTATTGTTTATTAAAGCAAATGTGTCTTGCCACTGCTCTACCTTACTGGATGGGTCACAATAATGGAATCTGTTGTGAACATGAAATCTGTCTTTAATTCTTATCCAACAAGTCTATTTTCCCCAAGACAATGCTGAATGAATAAAGACTTCCACACTAAACAAGAAGCACAAGACATGAAAACTTTAACCAAATGTATTCTTCTAAGCATGTGGAAGGAGTCTGCTCTTTAGTGCTGTCCTAGAACACAACTGGGGAAACATTCATCACTGTAGTCACTGAATCCATTTGTTCCAATCTTGCATTTATGTTGCACATCGCATATTATTTCTGCTAGCTCATCCAACAATGCCATATTCAATCGACTCTTACCAGCAGGGCAGCTCGATTGTAAATCTTTTTATAAGATTCATTTAAGGGGATTTCCTCGATTCTGAAGTTGACACCTGTGAAGCTCAGCTGCCTTGCGATGTACATGCCGCTCACCTTCATATCCATGGCAACAATCTCCATAGCGCCCACACCCCTGTAAAAGAAAGTTGATCATCATAAAATAAAAAAGGGTACAGCATGGTTATACACTAAAATCAAATGAAACAGACTTTGTGTCCGACATAGTTATAGATTCAAGACACCCAGTGAAGAAACTTATTAGTAAGCCCTGTTCTACAAAGAGAATACCTTTTCTCAATAGCGTGCAAGAACTCATCAAAAGTGCTGAAAGACGTGCCCTCTCCCCAGATACCCAACCGGCTCATATAGATCATATTCTTGGGCTCGGATGCACCTGTGAGAACAGAGTGACAAAGAAAGTGAAGCCATTCAGTGAAATATCTGGACTTGGTTGAGCTGCCCCAGAGAGTGTGTATGATTTTTTGTACAACCAAAAAAAGGAAATACAACTCACCTGTGGCACTAGCATATACCACTCGTGCCAAAGGCAGATTGTTCTGAAGCTCTAGTACTGCACGACCCATTTTGGTGCAGGAAGCATTTTTGGCTTTGTGACATTCATCGAACACAATCTACAAAGGCAAAAGGTCAAGGAAGAAACATACAAGGAAATGTGTTGCTGTTGAGTAGGGCTGCAACAACTAATCGACATAATCGATTATTGAAAAAGTTGTCAACTATTTCAATCATCGATTAATCGGCTTCCGATTGGTTGCCCCTGTTCACGGCTCCACACACGCTGCGCGCCACACCTCTTCCCCACCTCAGACCCGCCCGCATCCATGCTCCACACGCCACACCTTCTCCCTGCCTCACGCTCAATGCCCGCCCAAATCCACGGTCGGCACAGGGACGCAGGGAGAAGAAGTAAGGAGGAGCAGGTGTGGGC